AAAAAAAATTATGGGTCGTAAAAAGATCAATATAACTCGTATAAATGACGAGCGTACTCGTCAAGTTACATTTACAAAACGAAAATTTGGTTTAATGAAAAAAGCATATGAATTATCCGTATTATGTGGTTGTGAAATAGCATTAATGATATTTAATAGCAATGATCGTCTATTTCAATATGCATCATCCGATATAAATAAAGTTTTATTAAAATATGCCGAATATAATGAACCACATGAATCATGTACGAATGTGGATATTGTCGATGTAAGTAGATATGTACTATATATTTTGTTTTCTTCTTCAATCAATTAATCTATTTTTTTTTAAATACAAGATTTTAAATAAAAAACATCCTACAATAAAACCCATAGCAAGTGGTAGTAGTGAAGATACGGAAATGCTCGAACAACATGATGAAAGCAATGAACAAACATTTACTGACAGTGTTAATAGCGTATGTATTATATACATTCATCATCATCATCATCATCATCATCATTATTTATCATTCTTTTTTTAGTTTCTTATCAATAGCAATCTAAGTTGTTCCTCATCAAATAATAATAGCCATGATATGACATTCCTTAATAATAATAATACAGGAACGACAACAACAACAGTTTTACCCGATTTTCAATATTTAACATCTCCATCAGGTGAAAAATTATTATCAACAACAACATCAAATCACATTCCCATTTATCCTATTCCGAAATCTGTTGATGTTAATCAGTATGGAAATAACATTACCAATAATAATAATAACCTTCATTCAAACACAGCTCATGTAAATAAAAAAAAAATAAAATTATGAAACACAATATATATTCTAGGTAACACAATCTTCACCTATATCGATGAATAATTTTATCGCTCAACAACCGTCAACAAATATTGGTCGTATTATGACTGGTTTGAATAGATTACTGAATCTTATTATTCCTTTATTTTTTTAATTATTTTAGTCGGTCCGGATATGAGTGTTTCATCTATTGATATAAGTGCACTTGCTTCACAATTGACATCAAATTTTTTAGCATCATTAACTAATGCAACTGTTGTTACAACTACAAATAATTCATCATCAGCTATTCCTATTAAGTAAATAAAACAAAAATATAAAAACAAAAATATTCTCATACTTACTTTTTAGTTTAATTAATCGAGATTGTCAAACAACAAACATTGGCACTGGACAAACAATTATGTTAACAAATAGTCCAAATTCAATTGTACTTACTGGACAACATCATCAACAACAACAAACACAACCGATATGTCGAAATCTTATTAAACAAGAACCTAGTGTCTATACAACAACATCAACACCAGGAAGAAACGAATTGTGCTATGAATCGAGTATAAAACAAACTCATTTATGGCAATAATAGACTTACATTTCCATCAAAATAAATTCCGCATAGAAAAACAGAAGACATTTTTTTCCAAAAAAAAAAATATTTCAAACATATTTCTTTTTTTTTCCGTAAACCGTTCCTTCATAAATACCCTTGATTATACGTATTATTCTTGACACATTTGCTCTTACTTGTATCTATTCCGAATATTATTTATTTATTTTTTTGTTTTTCGTCGTTTTATTTGTGTTTGTTTTATGATAATCCTTTTCTTTTCTGACAATAAGTTATACATATATTTTAGAACAACGTAAATTTTATTATTCGATTAAAAGAGCAAATTAGTTACTATCTAGAGACAAACAAATAGTATATTTCTTCTCAAGGACAATCTCTGCATAATAGCGTCAATTAAGTATAGTCATAATACGTGAAAAACTGTTATGGCTTTAATCATGTGGTGGCATTGATGACCTTTTTTATCATCTATATATAGAAATCTTTTGTTTTTCTCTACTCATCATCGTAAAAGATCAAAATATTGTCTTGTTTCAATTATTAATATGTGTTTTACAATTGATAATAACACTTTATATTGTTAGTACTTTAGTGTGTATTATTTAACCAAGTCAAGGACAAGAGAATAAGATGAAAAAACAACAAATAATGTTTATCATCACAATAATAAAAAACAAAGTTTTACGTTAATAAAAAAACTATTCAATTTACAATATGATAAATATATATTTAGTCTCAGATCAGACATAGTAATTAACATCAATAAGTGAATCCTTCCCTTTTACTTGCTTCCAGATGACGATACGAAAGAAAAACATTGGGAATCGATAAAATGAAGCTTTAGAACTTATGGCGACTCATTGAAGAAAAATATTTATTCTAATATTAAACAAAAACTGTCTACATTGGTATAATAGTCTATATTTTGTTTTGTTTTTTTTTCTACAAAAAAGTGTCTTATCTTATCATTTTTCTCATATCACTTCTATTCAAACAATATAGTCAAAATCTTCTTTTTTTATTTATTCATTTTGAGTTAAAAATGAAGCAATACATAGCCTTATGTTTATTATTATTGTGTATTTCGAGATATCAAGCACAAGATCCCACAACAACTCCAGGAACTGATTGGAATGGTGATCCGAAAATATGTACAGTCGATACATCGGGCCCATCTCCAACTGATAGACCTCAGCCAATATTTCCTAAACAAGCGGAATTCGCACTAGAAAGAGTAGAAATAAGACATCTATATGACGCAACAGAATCAAGTGAATTAACGATGTATCAATATTTATATGATTATGATGCAAATAAATTAATCTTGATTAAAAATTCTCAAGGTTTAATTGATGTTGAATATTTTCATTATGAAACATTAAAGAAATCAACTTATCTTCGTCAACAAGTTTGTATAGTTACTGACATTGCACAAAATATTGAAATGGGTATGTTTTCAAAGAATATTTTCAATACTATTATTTTTATTTTTATTTATCAGATGGAACATCAGCTATGGAGTCACAAAATCAGACATGGCATATTCGCCCATTAAATGAATTTCTTCTATTCTCAAGTTTTGATCCACGACGACCAGTAATTCGACCAAAATATATAGGTCAAAGTATAGTACGTGGGATCCCAGTCGATCAATGGGAAACATGTATAATCGATAAAACTCAATTTCGAACTACACGACGTGAATGGTCATTTGCTCAAAAAGGTTTTATGTTACCATCTGGTATTGTTGGTGACTTAGCTGTACCAATTCGAGCAATTATAAATGCGTCTGTTATATTTGCAAATGGTACACAATTTGCAGAAGTTGATGAAATATTTAATGTTCATTCATATAGACCAAGTATAATAGAAAGTAATGATCAATTATCTCCACCAAAAGGTGTCTTTTGTGATAGTGGTTTTGGTCAACATTTAATATCTCTTCGTGATGCTGGTATTGAGTGGCCTGAACGATTTTCTGTTCGTGTTGAAGCATCAACATCACGTTCTGAACAATGGCAAAGATTTCATGTACGTTATCAACATCCTGAACGTGGTCCAAGACGTATTCGTTATGACTATTTACCACCAGGATCCACCGAAGATTTTCAATCGATTATACATGATTTTGGTGATAATTTAACATATATTATTGATCATCGTGTAGGTTCATGTAAAATCAATCGTGGTGTAGAATATCCTGATGTCAATCCAATTCTTGATCCAATTGGTTTTTTTATTAAACATGAACGTAGATTTATTTATCGTGGTCGTGATCCAATCTGGGAATTAAATGGCGTTCGATGTAAAAGATATTTTTATATGAATTTTTTTTCTATAATTAATTATTTTTCTAGCATGTCGAGGTGATACAATCAAATGTGCAGCAGTGACAAGTTCTGTTGAGCAATTTCCTGTAATGGTAGATATTGATACTGGTAAACCAAATGGTGAAAAGTGGTCAGCAACAAGTATTGAATATGGATGGTCGATGCGTGCTCCTTTTGCAAGACCACCATCTGACAGAAATAGACATTTTGATTATCCCGTATATTTATTTTTAAGAATGTATCGATTTAATGATCCATCCTATCCATCATTAACTGATATGCATACAGAAGATATTGAATATGAATTTTATGAAATGTCTCATGAAGTTAATCCAAGCGATTTTGATACAAGTATATGTTATCGTTCACTTCATTATGATTATTTACATTTAAGTTTTACACTGCAACTCAGTAAAGGTAATGCCATTGATGGAAATCATTTAGATAGACGATTACTTGAAAGAGAAATTCATGGTAATTTGGTCTCTTATACGGATACTAGCTATTCACGTATTACTGATATTCAAGTTGATCATGAACATAATACGAATGAAGTAACTGTATTCTTTACTTTACTTGGTCCAACACCAGCACCTGAATCACCAAGTGGTATTGATGAAAATGAAGCTAAAACTAATCAATCTCGAAGTCGGCTTGAACAAATAATTAATGATGGAAAATTTGAATTCCTAATGAAATTAATAGATGATAATAGTTCAACTGTTCATTTTCAAGCTGTAAAAGGTTCCTTAAAAGGCTCAAAAGAATTTATATCATCACATGCAGTTGGAAAACAAGTTATTAAAGAAACTTATTCAAGTGGTTCACAAGCTGGTGCTGTTATAGGAGGAATTCTTGTTGGTCTTCTTCTTGGTGTTCTTTTAGCAGCCGGTATTCGAGTTATACGTGAGAAACCGATGCCAAATATACCACATATGCCGACTTCAATTACAAATCCTTTACCTTCTATTAGTTTTTACAATAAAAAACCAACAGAAGAGACAAAAACTACATCTGATGCGTGATAGTATTCAGATAAATATTTAAATATTTTTTTATATTCATTAATAAACTATTTGTATTTTTCTATCTATAATCGTATTCTTTTGTCACAACATAACTCAATATTGTTCCTTCTTCTTTTTCTTCTTTATATCGAGCGCTATCTACAATGCATTTAATTGCTTCAAACAGAACTC